GTCGCAGACGGCACACGGGGAAAAGGATGCCCTCAAAAATGCCAAGAAAAGCAGACAGGTCTGAAAAGACAAGAACCAAAAATACCCATTAAACTTGAAAGCCAGGAGGAAACTGGGGGCCGTAGTTAAAGCATCTTGTAGGATGGTGAGGGTGCAAGACAGGAAGGTGTTGGTGAGGAGGTGAAGTCATTGAATGTGGACTGTGCTTCCAAGTGTGAGCATAAAGGTGGAGGAGAGAAGTGAGGCTGTGGCTACGGAGGGATAAGGGACCAAAGGTAGCTTCTTTCTTTCCTGTGTGAGAGTCTTGAGCGCATCCAACGTGACGATAGCAGGGGAAGGCACATCCATCAGTGACGAGGAGAGAAGTGAGGCTGTGGCTACGGAGGGATAAGGGACCAAAGGTAGCTTCTTTCTTTCTTGTGTGAGAGTCTTGAGCGCATCCAACGTGACGATAGCAGGGGAAGGCACATCCATCAGTGACGCTCTTGAAGGTAAACTTCATGAAGGGAGGAATTTGTTTTGACCATTGCTATGTCCCCAGCACCTGGCACGAAGCAGACACTCAATACATATTTGTCAAATGTGTGATTATATCATTTAGAAACTGTAATTGGCTGTGAGTAACCAAATGCTAGAAAACAGTGGGTTTCATTTTCCTCCCAAAGCAGAGGTAGAGAGGATCCCCAGATTTCCTCTAGAACCCAGCGTCCTTTCCATTTCCCTCACTCATCCCCAGCATGTGCTTGTCGTGTGGTGAGCATAGGACGTCTCCTGTACTCCCCCAACACATCCATGCTCCAGGCAGCGGGGAGACCAGGGGCAGAGGGCCCTCCTTTAGAAGACTGTTTGCAGAAGCCCCAGCCCATGGCCTCTCCTCGTATCTCACTGGTCAGAATTTTGTCACATGCCCACTCCATATGCATGGGAGGCTGGGAAATGTAATTTTTTCAGCCTGGCATTATCACCTTTGTCAAAATCAGGTAGATAAGCAGTAATCTCTGCTGCAGTGACAGAGCCTAGTCCCTCAGTGCTAGGCAATATTTATGGGATGGATAAATGAGTGTTTTATTCTTGAGGTCTGAACATTTGTGTCCCCCCAAAATTCACATTTTAAAATCATCACCCCTAAGTTGATGGCATTAGGAGATGGGACCTTGAGGAGGTGATTAGGTCATGATTGGGATTAGTGTTCTTTTAAAAGAGACCCCAAAGAGTTAGCTTGATTCTCCTACCATGTGAGGACATAGCAAAAAGGCATTATCTATGAACCCGAAAATAGTCCCTCACCAGACACCAAATCTGCTGGCACCTTGATCTTGGACTTCCCAACATCCAGGACTGTGAGAAATAAATCTCTGTTGTTTATAAACCACCCAGTTTATGCTATGTTGTTATAGCAGCCCGAACTGATTAAGACAGTGCTGGTCTCATATTCTCGGAGTAAACCCTTAATCTTTAGGGAAAGAAAAAACACCATTTGAGATGGGGTATTCTATGAGCCCTGCCATGTAAACTGATTTGGTTGAACTACAAACTGTGGTCAAATTGTGGAGGTCTGTGGAATTACCAGCCAGGGAGAAGATATAAAAATAAAGTTAAAAGCTTAATGCTTCTGGAAGGGTACACACCAAATTGTTGAGAGCGATTACCCTTGGGTAGAGGGGTTGGGCAGATTGCAGAGAGAACATTACCTTGCACTCCATTTAAGTCAACAGTCATTATTTTTGTCATCTTTTAGAAGAAAAAAAAGATCCTAAGTGTTCTACATCTGACTCAGAACTGCCAGAGCAATAAAATTGAATTAGTAAAATTGAATAATTATGAATTTTCAGGAGGCCATTAATTTACCACTTCTTCATTGTATCCACTTCTAATAGGACCTCAATATAGGCGAATTTGACTTCAGGATGAAAGGACTAGAATTTATTTACTCTTTTTTAAAAAGGTACTTTAAAAGCAGACTTGTCTTGCAGAGCCTTCTTTAACTGGACATTGATGAGTGCATCACAGCCTTTAAGGCATTCTTCATTCCACCTTCCAGTGTGTAGGGTTTCTGATTCACAAATGTTTCCTGAGCTACTACAGATAATGAAATGGATAAGTTATTTGAGTGACACAAAGATAAAAAGATAGAGTCCCTGTCCTCACTGAGCGTACCATTTCATGGAGTGTCAGGTATACAAACAATTGTAACCAATCTGCTGGTTGCTATAATAAGAGCATTCCCTCATTCATCAAGTAGTATTTGAGTGTCTACTGTGTGCCCAGCACACAGATACGGTTCCTGCCTACAAGGGGCATAGAGTCTAACGAGAGACAGATGGCAAGTAAACGACAGAATAATTTCCAATGGCGAAGAGTGCAAAGAAGCAAATAAACAGGGCACTTAAGAGAGCACAACAGGGCAAGGTGGAGCAAGAGGCGTAGCAGAAGGAGTCTCTCGATCTACCTGGGGAACACCCATGCTTCACACAGGGACTTGTGTGAGGAATGAGACTTGAAGGATGAGTGGAAACTTGCCAGGCAGAGGAGGGTGGGCACTGTGAGCGAGACAGGGGCGTGAGAGATCCTGGTATGTGAGCGGAGGGAGAAAGAAGACCAGCTTGCTGGAGGAGAGGAGGGAGAGGCCAGACAGGGAGCCTGGCACCGGCTCACAAGAGGCCGTGTGTGTCCAGCACTGGCATCGACCTTTTCTTCAGAGACAGTCGGGAGCCTGTTAGGTCACTCAGGCTGCAATGTGAAGGATGCTTTGGAAGAGAGGAGTCTAGAGGCAAGGGGACCAGCCAGAAGGCTACTCTGATGCAATATTCTAGAGGAGCACAGAAGCGAACAAAGGCAGTCCTAGGAGGGAGGAAAAAAGGGAGAGTATTTACTTAGTATTCACGCATTCAACAATTTACTTATTTTTGCATGCAACAAAATAGTTTTTATTACGCATTGTTATTATAGAAATAAGCATAAAAATAGAGTAAGTGATATAATGAACCCCCATGTATCCGTCACTTGGCTTCAACTATTACCAACATTTGGCTGTTCTTGTTTTAATTAAAACAGTTAAAACAAGTTTTTTGTTCTAAAGTTTATTTTCTAAAGTTTTCTGAAGCAAATCACAGGCAACGTATTGTTTCACCCTTGCATACTTCCCTATATATCTCTAAGACATAAGAACTTATTCGTTTTAACAAAATCACAATGCCATGATGACACCCAACAAAATTAGCAGTAATTCCTAGTATCATCTAATACCCCATCCATGTCCACCTTCCCCCAGTTGTTCCTGCTGATTTGTTCAGATCAGAATCAAAATCCACACATGGCACTTTACGGATCTGTCTCTCTGGGTCCCTTTTCATCTCTAATAATCTCGAGGGAGAATCGACAGGACTTGGTGACAACTTGCCACGGGAACACGTTTTCACCTGCTTGCTGCCTCCCTTCCTGCCCACTCTTCTCAGCTCCGCCCTCCTATGAGAAAAAAGGAATTCCAGTGCTTTGCCCAGCATATGTTGAGGCTATTTTTAAGGAGTTTAAAAAGGCCTAGCAAGATGCTTCTCAGTGCTGTAGTTTCAACGGCGACTTTGTTGCTCCTTTTTCTGGAAGATTCTTCCCCTGGCTGCTTTGTATCTCTCATCCACTCTTCTCAGCTCCGCCCTCCTATGAGAAAAAAGGAATTCCAGTGCTTTGCCCAGCATACGTTGAGGCTATTTTTAAGGAGTTTAAAAAGGCCTAGCAAGATGCTTCTCAGTGCTGTAGTTTCAACGGCAACTTTGTTGCTCCTTTTTCTGGAAGATTCTTCCCCTGGCTGCTTTGTATCTCTCACACATAACAAAGCCTTTGAATTTACAGTTAGAAAATAAGCCTGAAATGCTCCTGAGTGCTAAATTTATTCTACAGTTTCAGGGCCAGAAAGAATAGGAGGGCCCCTGCACCCACGGCAGGGAAAAAGGGCGGCAAGCACGCGCAGCTAGAAATGGAAAGCTGGGCCCCTCAGAGCCTAACTCCACCTGCTTCTCAGCTTTGCTGCAGCGGGACCGGCATAGCCGACATCAGGGAAGACCACACTGGCAGATAAAAAGTCCAGGCTGTGGCTTGTTGTCCACAAATGCTTGGATGAGAATTACAAGTCAAGCTTCTTAAAATGCAGATGCCCAGGACTCACTCTAGACCTGCTCGAGATGCGCAGTTGAGTTTGAAAACCACTATCTTAAAACTTAGAATTCAGACATCAGAAACTCTTAGAGGATCAGTGATTCAATAAGTTTTGAAACTATGAAGAATGAAGTCAATCAGGACTTGAACTTGGTTTCCAGAAAACGGGGTGTTCACTTCAGGCTCCGGGGCTGGGAGGCAGAAGACTTGTGGGCTTCCACAGTCCCCACCAGGATGGACGATGCACGAATGGCTCTGAGTTGTCACATGGACTGGGCTTACCAGAACATTGCAAAGGGACTTCTCTCTGACTCCTACCAGCCTCAACTTTAAAAGAAAGGTGATGTAACTGGCTGAATCTTCCACGAAAGAGTTGTGTTGAACAGAGGAAGAAATACAACCTGCCTGAAAAGGACACAAAGGGAAAAACACGTGAACAATGACAAGGAAGCCCAGCAGTGTCTACAAAGCCCCGAGGTGAACAGATGGGCGCCCTCCGCAAGCAGCTTCCTTCTCACTCCGGCAGCTGCACTGTTTTCCTTCCTCTAGGAGTCTCGTTTGGTGTTGCTAAACCAGCAATCAGAATCACTTTGGCGTGTTTAATGTCACCATGAAACTATTTGTGATTGACTAGCTCCGCAGGGTGACTTGGAATAAGAGCCTTTGATTTTCTCAATTAGATAAAAGAATTTTGTTTCTAAAAGCAATCTTGCAGAAAGGTCCTGCAACCAGAAAAAAGGAAGGAAGGGAATGTTTTTCAAGCATACAGGAGGAGATCAGATAGCGCCTATGTGCGTATACATAACTATATGGATATAAATTTTTTAAATATTTTTTTCTATCAATTACAGCTTCCCACACTCGTAGACAGCAGTTCTCAAGGTATTAATCTGAGATCCTGGGGAAGGATATTATCTGATATGTCACCAAGAATTCAAGAGGTGAGTGGTCTGATGATAGTAATTATAATTTCATTATGTCTTTCCACCATTCTATCACACTTATGTCAAATAACTTAATTGGACATCAAACCTGTTTAAGGAGAAATAAGTTGATCTTTCCCCCTAGCAATTTTAAGACACCTGTTCATATCCTAAATTATCTGTGTTCCTGGATAGGAGGCAAAAAGAAAAGAACCATCCTTCTGATTTCACACCGAGGAAGAAATGCCACTGAGAATAAGCAACTCGCCTGGTGTGGCACAAATCATCAGAGGACTTACAATTCAACCCATGTCTTTCCAGTACTGAAGTGGTCTATTACTCTATTACCATCTTAAAAAATCCGCATACACATATACCACCAGTAATAATAGCATACACCTTTATATTGCTTCTGGGCACTATTCTAAGTGCATTACCCACATTGACTCATTTCATCACAAAGAAAATAAGTGGATTTTTGTGTTGTTTCATAAAAGATGTACAAGTTTTAATTAACATCTGGTTGCACAAGTCTTCTCCCATAGAGAAATTTATTCTTCCACTCAATAGATGAGAGGTGCTGGGAATATCATGTCAAACAGACGGGCCACTGCCCAAGGGAGAAGAGAGATGTGAAACAGGCAAGCCCTTCAGGTGTGATGAGTATTATGAGGGGAGGCAAGGAGTGAAATGTAATTTCCCCCTCTGTTTCCCCCTTCAGTACTCCCAACTGACTGGGGCTTAGTCAACCTAGAAAATTGCATGGTTGGAATCCGTTTTTACAAAACTAAGCTCAACCTGGGTAGAATATGCACACTGCTGTGCAGGGAAAGTTAGAGAAGGGCCCATTGTACTGATGGCCACCTGCTGCAGTGGGAGTCTCTGTTTAACATTCTTTTCCTCATAGCATTTAAAACATTCATATCAGTATAATAGGGTGGAAGTTGATAGAGAATGCAAAAAATTCCCCAAAGCATATCAGCACTCTTAGTTTTGTGTGGGAGTTCCAGAAGTTTTCTTGCCTGTCTAGATAGAAGTCTAAGCATTTGTAAACTAGGTTGAAACAGATGGTCCAGTTTATATTAATCGGTATTAGACCATTTGACCCTGGAACAGCCCCTTCATCTCCAAGTGCTTTGATTAAATGAGCAATGTAGTAACAATAGCCCCTTACAAGACTGTCATAAGACTCAGTGTTGTTGAAGCAGTTTGAGACTCTGACTTTTTCATGGAAGCATAGACTGTGGTTGTAGGCATGACTCATCGTGTGGTTTCTACGTGGCCCTCATCAGTTTCAGAGGGCAAGTGTTGGCATGTGGACAGAGAGGAATGACGGGTAAACATCACTTATTGCAATAGATTGCTTTCAGTCTCACCTGATTGAGTCCTAATGGTTTTATAAATTCCCAAGTGCCTTTGAATAAAGCGGCATTGTTTTTATTTTGTATTTTCCCCTAAAGCAAAGCCAATGGCACCGTGGGAGCCAGGACACTGGCAACTCTGGCAGCTCTCACCTTAGTTCTCAGCATGACTGATCTACCTTCAAAGGACAAGGCCAAGTGCCATGGGCATCCATATGGAGAGAAGATCACCAGCCTCTTCTTAGTTGGCACAGAATTTTAAAAGTATTTTTCCAAAAATGAAGACTTCATCTGTGTTTGCTCAAATCTTAAAATACACGCACACACACACACACACACACACAACATGCACACAAAAAAATCACAAACCACACATTTTAAGAAAATGGAAGAGTTCACATTTTGTAAAATATAGCTAATAATTAGAGGATAATTTTCCAAATATAAGGAACTAAATTCTAAACTATTTGGGCAAATAAATTTGTTCTGACCTTGCCTTCCTGCAGCACAGCCATTCTCTGCATTTCCCCCAGGACACATTCCCAAGGAATTCAAATAAAGGAGACTGGAGGAAGAGAGGCAATACTAAATACTTTGGGGTTCACTCCTTTTCTTTAAGGCTAACCTAGTTTTCACTTAGTCTGTGAGTAGATGGCAGTAGGATTTGGTTTTGTTTTTTGTTTTGTTTTTTTTCACAGCTGGATTAAGGATTGCTGAGAATATGGATGTTTTCTTGTAAATGTGGATGTCAAACATATTTGTGGAAGTTTCCCCAAACTTTGGAGTTTAGGCTTCACAGATTATAATTCTGGCTGCCTTTAAATAACCCATAGCCATTGCTTTGCCCTAGTTTACCCATCGGAAGAGTGTTCAAGACTTGCTGTGGGTGACCAGACCACTTTGGAGTTTAGGCTTCACAGATTATAATTCTGGCTGCCTTTAAATAACCCATAGCCATTTCTTTGCCCTAGTTTACCCATCGGAAGAGTGTTCAAGACTTGCTGTGGGTGACCAGACTGCTCATGCAGGGTGGCGGCCCAGAGACTTTCCCGCAGCTGATGGGCATCCTGTCTGACCTCCTGTGTGGCTACCCAGAGGGAGGAGGCTCTCGGGTGTTCTCCTTCAACTGGTATGAAGACAATAACTATAAGGCCTTCCTGGGGATTGACTCTGCAAGAAAAGATCCTATCTATTCTTATGATAAAAGAACAAGTAAGTTTTCTGAGTCCTGTGTGCAAATTGGCTTCTGATGTTAGTTAAGCTGATGGTTTAACACTTCCAGGTAAAGCTAGTTGGGGGGGGGGGGGGGGGG